GGTCCCTGACGTGTCGTGTTCGGGAGCGTCAAGGATCAATACATCACGATCCACAATTTCAACTTGGCGAGCAACGTGCACGGCAGTCAGAGGATTGTCACCAGTGATCATGACGACACGGTGGCTGCTCTCGTTGAGCATACGAACGGCTTTGATGGCGTCATCCTTCAGGGGACACTGCAAGACGAGGAAACCGGCGAAGATCAGGTCAGATTCCACCTCTTCCCTGGTGTAGTTGTTGATACGAGTGCGAGTGAGTTCAGCTTCATGAGAGAGATACTTGTAAGCGAGGGCAAGGACACGAGCGCCGTTACGAGTGAAGTACTTGAAAGTTTCCTCGTAGTTCGGCGGGGTGTCGATAAGCATAGATCTAATGGTTTCGGGGGCACCCTTGACACCGACAAAGGTAGATTTGACCTTCTTGTGCGTGCTGCGATCATCGGAGACAATCGTGGCGATGGTACTCTGACGCTTCAGTGCGGAAGAGAACTGGAATCGTCTGATAACCTGGACGGACTCGGGAACCCGAGAAGCCGTGGCCGAGACCTTGCCGGTCAGGGTGTCATTCTTTCCTAGTGTCCAGCCAAGCCATTTCAGCGTGGCCTTTTCCATAGGGTCACCAACAACCTCGCCCTCATCAAGCTTCACGAGTGCGTGAGCGCTTGCAAGAACCAGAGACGTATCGAGTCCGACATCGCTGCTCTTGGCGAGTTCAGTATGGGCACCATCTTTCTCAACCTTTGCGCCCGCCTGACCAAGAGTCAGACCGGCAACACCGTCGACGACAAGATCCTCCCCGGTCAAAGTACCGGTTTTATCAAAGCAGGCAACATCGACCCGGCCGGCGAAAGGAATTCGAAAAGGCTCAGTGCAAAAGATAGCAAACTTGCTCAAAGCGGCCAGACTAGTGTTGACAGCAAGGCTGAGCTCCATAGGAAGTTCAGGAGGAACGACACTAGTGATAATGAGGACACAATCCAGGAGCAATTTCGACCTCTTGCGATCCTTTGCCACACCCTCCTGCCAAACATACCATGAGGCGGCAATGGCGAAAATAAGCAGGAATAGAATAAAGAGCAGTGCTTCCACGTTGTTGGCAGACACCCGCTCGGTTGAGTAGATCATGGTACGCACGAGACTGCCCTGGCTTGTTTCGAAACCGGTTTTCACGACAACACCAAGCGCACCAGAATCGGGCGTGGGAAGGATACCGGAACCATCGTGAGACTTGGCAATATCGTCAGATGTGGTGTTTGCATGAGTAATCTGCAAGACTTTGGTTCCACCGTGTACGAATGCGTTTTTGTCCAATCCATCCGGTTCGATCAGATCGTCGCCAGGCCTCAGTTGGACGGACTCCTTCAGAAGTGGTGTACTCTCACCAGAGAGCATAGCCTCGTTAACGATAACACTTCCTTCGATCAAGAGAATATCACACGCCACACCGCTGTCTTCCTTGGTTCGGTTAACTGACATCAAGTCACCGGGCAAGAGCTTGTCACTGGTAGTCTTCTGCCATTGTTTCTCCCGGAAGACCCAGACTTCATACGGCTTAATACTCATTCCCCGGAACTCATTGAGCGTCCGCTGGCGCTGCCACACCACCGTGCTCTCAAACATGACAAGCATGAAGAGGGTAAACAGAGAATAGTACCAGTACTCGTCCAACATCCACAAACCGACGCAGAAGATTTGGAAAACGAAGAAAGGCGCAACTGCGTGCTCCTTCCAAAGTTCCACAAAACCCGGCACGGGAATATCAAACGTGTTATCGCCATAGTGGTGCTGAATACGCTCGACCTCTTCCTTGGTGGTCAAACCTTGGGTCTTCTGGAAGGTCTTGAGGGCAGGCTTGGGCTCAGCGTCGAGGACGTAGGACAAGGGGGCGAAGCATCGGCGTTCAGGGTAGTAAAGAAAGCGGCGCTTCTGAAACAGGAACGAGACCGTCTTCTTTCCACCCCTAGTGTCGAAGAGCAATGGGCAGACCTCAGCCGAACCAGCATTAGCTGCGGGAATCACCTTGATAAGCCGAGCGGAGTCGATCGATTTAGCCTTAGTAGTGGTGAACAGTGTTTGGATATCGATGTTCCAATTCGTCATAAGCCACAAAAGCGACTGGACCGTGATAATGGAGCCAGCATACACAAAGGTCCATTCTTGACCTTGAATGTATGTATCGTAGCGTTCAGGGGAGAGATAGAAGGCGAAGAATGCAGGCCAGATGACCAGGAACGGCCATACATACGTGTGCAACTGAGTGGGAAGGGGGTTATGGAGAGAGGAGTATTTGATCTGGGGATCTTCGACGAGTCCTGGCCTGGGCATCATCAACTTGTCAGTAAGCGGCCGGTCAATGCACGCGATACAGCGAAAGGTGTCTCGACTCACATGGTGACACTCGAATGACCACGACGCGGGCCAGACGACGCGAACTTGAGAAACCAAGAAAGCTTCAATAGACCATAGGAAATAAAGGGCCCAAAGCCTTGAAGCCACCAGTATATCTCCGAAGTGCAGGTCGAAGAGGAAAGCGCGAAGAAGCCACCTCGACAGTATAATTTTGGGATTCGCCGCCGAGGATTGAACGTACGGAAGGCCCCGTTGCTCGCGATTGGTCGCCGCCACGTGCCGGGACGGAGCTTGGATTTTCCCGACTTTCGCTGGTTCCGATAAGCAGGCAATCCTGATAGCAACTACTACTAACTACTAATGATTACGGAGTTTCACTCCGTATGCTGATAAGAGTGATCCGTTCAGATGGTGAGGACTTGACTATTTTGTCCAGTTTGCAAATCGAGCCTACGCTACTCAAGTCCGTCGTCTTTGTTTAGCGAATTGGCGCTGAGGTGCTACGTAGAAAGTCACCGAAGCTTCAGCCTCGGGCTTTAGGCCTAGCTAATACTCGTGATAGGCACTGGTAGCTAGAGATATGAAGACACCAAGATGTGCACGGAGTTCTCGTAGGTTCTTTTCACATCAGATAATGATCATCTGATGTTTAACCCTCAACACTGAAAGCCATGGGTTCAGTTGCTCTATTGTTAAATCCAGTTCGGGACCATGACATGTGATAGATTACTATCGTTAACATCACGATGCGAAGCAGTCAAGATGGTTGTGCCGGAGCTGAGAATGGATTATGCCGCATAGCCTTTTCAAGTAATTGTCTGATGACGCGAATACCACCTACGATATGGACAATGAAAATACTATAACTTATCAAGATTATAGATTAAATAGCATAGAAGATCAACTTCTAGGCCTCATCCGTCGTGACAACAAATGACTTATGCACATTGACCCCGTCCCAAGCGCCTGGCTTCGGATTGAGATTTTCCTGACTGCTGTGCGGGCTTCCCTGAGCTGTTTGCACGGTCGTAACAATAGCCCTAGTGTCGTCAGGGTTCAGATCCGGACGCCAGAATTTGGTCGAGTTTGTGGTATGTTCGCTTCGCGAGGCATGTTGACCGTTCATACTTGAGAGCGGCATACTTCCGGAGGTTTTCTTACTGCGTGTAGGAGCGTAGCTGGTTCCGCCCAACCAGCGGAATAGAGGGCGAAGGGTGACGAGGCAACCTGCTGTAATCCCGAGGCCCGCTTCGACATTGGACCATATAGATATTTGAGTCGTTGCATCTTTGCTCTCATTAGCGTTACGAAGCCTGGTAAGTGTGGCTGACTGTCAAACTTACAGAGGAACTCGGCGTCTTTGTAGGTGGGAAGGAAAGGGATACGGACGATGACACCTGCGCTGGCGCTATTGCGAGTATTAGCAAGCGATCGTGCATGAATGGTTTATGTCCAATCCGTCTTACATGCAGCCCAAGCTCAGGATACCCGCCAACGCGGCTTTGGTTTGGCGACTCATTTGTAATTTCCACACCAGGAAAATAGGTAACAATCCAAGTGTGAAATCGCAGATCATCGCAGTGACACTGTATACGTAGGCAATATCGAGGAGATTATCAATAGACATGCAGTGCCCGGGTTTGGTGCGTTGCCAGAAGTGTGACACCGGTTTGCACTCGAAGGTTAACATAAACCAGAATACGAGGCCCACGATGATCGACACGCCTACCACACACCATAAGAGGATTGTGTGTACTCTGGAAACAGTAAGACGGAGGAGGGCCAGCGCAATGGAAATCCTGGCGACAACAACTGTCACGACGTAGCTCGTTTGACCTAGCCACCACCACTTCTCAATGTAAGCGAGAGAACTCGACATGATAGTCAGTGTTCTTACAAAAAGGGCGGTTTCAAGATAGCCGTCTTCCAGTTGCTCGAGTTTCTGGCCCATGCCGTACAATGAGCCAGTAATGCCACACAACGCAAACAGAATATTCAATCCCTTATAGTAAATCAATGTTAACATTAACATACTCTCTTGCAAGAAGCGCCGATAGTACATACCATAGCGAAAACCATCAGCGCATCATCCCACCCAAATGCGCGCACCAGCCGCAGCCGAACGAAACATCGTAGGCATACGGCAATGAAGGATATCCCCAAGAAAACCACAGTAACGATGAATATTGACTCACTGCGGCCCTTGAATTCGATCATGGTGGAGCACACAGCAGCGTGAGTGCTACAGTCAACGAAGGTCGCAGGCTGGAATCGGGTGACATTGTCTCCCCTGGTGTGGGAGGAAGAGAGTGTGAGGCAGCCTAGGCCGGGGTAACTGTCATTTAAGTGGATATATAACCCAACTGGCAACCGTTTTAGGGGTAGCCTGGAAGGGGGAAAAGGTTCGACGCTAAAAGGCTGGTCCACGCATAAGATTCTTAACAAAGTACCGTCTGCTCAGCACAACCGCCCAATGACGAGAAAGCTGATAGTCTCCGAAATGCCGATGGAGCCCGGGTCTAAGTCTAAATGCTGCCATGTGGAGAGGACTGGATTCTCTGCTTGCCATCGAGGATCACTCCAAATGTACGGCATTTGTTCTGGTGCTACGGAGTACGTGGGTTAGACTTTTCATGTAAGAGCTAGTAGGAGGGACAGAGAATATCGGCTGTCGGGTCAGTAGCCAGCCGCCTGTGATCTGGTACCGAGGTCTATAGTGGCGGACGCTGAAAACTGAACAACAGGCTAATTGTCTGGCACTTTTGCTCGTCATGATTCCACATTAGTCTATCTGGAATCTGGATACTATCATCGTATGGAGCCTTGACACTGGATCCTATAGGATAGGAAACAAGATCCATTGGATCGACCCTTAGGCAGCTTGAAGCAGCCATTTCGTGTGCCTTTGCCAGTAACGGCAAATGTACCTGGGCCATAGCGGAGTCCATAGGGACAGAGTGGGTGCTTGGTTCCGAGGTGGGTATTCGGTGACAGTCACTTGCTCTCCGTTTGAAAGATCGAAAAATGAATTCATGTAGGAGAGGAACAATCGGCTATGTGCTATGCCGACTGCACCAGAGAGCAGGTGGGCTGCGTGACATGTTTGGGCGCTTTGGGATTTAGCCCACCTGGGCTCCACCCTGCCGCAGCAACGTTTGCCCCAAGGGGCCTGGGCGCGATGAATACCAAGAAAAGATTACATGATAATATTTGGCAACTGAAGTGTGTTGTGCGCAGAAACAATAGACGATGAACAACAATTCTCTTTTTATCTGTTGGACCCTGCCAATTGGGTCTCTTTGAACCTACGAGAATGAAGGGAAGACAAGACCCGGTGGACTCTGCAGAAAAATGAGATTGCCTCAAAAACCCCCGCCGCGTGAGGAATCCCTATCATGCATCCAGGTTATTGGTCTCCTAGAGACTTCCCTGTCATCATGCCTAGACTATTTATTATAGCGTGTGAGTCGGGCGTGGATCACCACAGCAAGCACATAATGTCGCCCACAATCCACCAAACTCGAAACGACAGAAAAGTATCCCCCATGGCTGCTGCACTCTACATTAACCGGCAAAGGATCTCCAATCCACTCCCGATGAGCAAGATGTCAATCAAGATAGAATCAAGATAGGGGCGAATCCGACGATTCGAAGAGCCAGGGCTTTGTCCTACCTTCGATAGAGTAATGATTGACCGGGATCTCATTGTTCTCATGGTGATCAGCGCAGTCCGCTTGTTTTACAACTTGCCTTCCTGGGAACAGAATGTGTTTGTTCTGGGCTCTAGAAATTCTAGATCCGTCCTTCCCGAAGATTTAGTCTACGGGAAAAAGCAAACGTTGGTTGCAATAGCTACAAAGTAGCACAAAGCATGTTGCTTTTCTCCTTCTCCTCTTCTTCCTCCTCCTTCTCCTCCTTCTTCTTATCCCTCCATGCCTAGGGTGTCCATAGCACCAGGAAACAATTAATCAGTCAGATCCACGTTTTGAACAAGCATTCCAAGAGTGTAAAGTAGCCAGAATGATGCTCCCGCTGGACACGGCACGGAAGTCGAAGTGTCGAAGGAAGGAAGGAACCGTGCGTGCCGAGATTCCCCCTCTTTGCCCTTTCATCGTTCGGCAAGCCAGCCCCAGTATCCCCACACCTATCCAGGCATCAGATGTTGCCGATCCAATAGTCGTGAAAAGGATGGAAAACTGCCACATTTCCGCAGTAACAGCAATATAATTAGCTACTCCCAGGCCTATTTTTCACGACAGATAATTGATTTCCCATCGTTGGTCAATATCAACGTACACCTCGCCCATCAAATCTCCAGCTGACATGGTCTTTCGTGTGGGAGACTGAACGGATATAGCATCATCTCTCATTTCGCTTAGGGCCTTAGCTCAGGAGTTCACGCTAACATGTCTAGCCCCAAGACTAACCGCCCACCTAAGGCTTCAGATTTTAGACGCCTTGCCAAACCCAGCTAGAGCTCCGATCGCACTGTAGTTCGCCATCTACTTTCCATGGTGCCGACCTGACCAGCTGGACCTGCCGATTTCCAGTGCCCAGTTTGGCTAAACAAAATCGGCCCCTACCGTCATGGGTACTATATCTATTTCGGGAATGCTTTGCGTCGATCATGCCAAAGTATCGGTGGTGATACCAATTTCAGTGCATGCTGTCATCCTATCTTAGCACTTGACGATGGAGCTAGCTCTGTGGAGATATTCTTCCAGGAACATGGTTCGGTCCGTCCATGGTTCAGAGGCACGGGTGGCAGCAAGAATAATCGCAGTTGAAACCACGGGTTGAGCTGCCCTGACATGCGAGAAATACTATCACATACGTCGATCAAAATAAATATGTAGCTTTGGAGGCTATTTTTGGTCGATCTTGTTAATTACTGTTGAGGCGACTACCTGTGTATGCGCACTCACGTGTCTGGCACTCAGGCCGCCCACACAAAAGACCTCTCCGGCTTTATTTTGTTAGAAGCACCTAGATAGCTAATTCAACAATCTATCAAAGCTTACATACATGCTGCCGGCATTTCCGAGCTCGTGAATACCCGAAAAGTTCCAGACTCCAACGCCAAGATATCTCGATCATCGTGTTCTTCCCACTGGTGCCGGATATATCCCGTTACGTGCGGCCCCGATGTTTAACCGTTGGCACCGGCTCATCCTCTATCACTTGCAGAGATATCTCTGGCTGACATCCAATGTCTGAAACGCTGGCTGTCAGCATGTTGTTTCATCCGATCGAGGGGTAACATCCCACCGACCCGTTAGCCGTCAAATATGGCTTTGGTGTCAGTCTATTTATAAAATCAAGGGAGTGGGGCCTATCTGTTATCAATGGTTATTAGATTCGCTCTTTGATAGGGATTAAATGCCATTCAGTGCGACTGCGAGGATAACCTCTCGGGGAACAACTACTTTTGTGGACACCATAGAGACGGACATATCAGGGATATCTCAATATTTCTTCATAGACGAGCTCAGTTTTATCGGAGAATAAAACCTGCCAAGGTTCATCTATCATTAGACTAATGAAAGAAGCAGGTTTTATGAGCTCCTCCGAACAGGACCGTATCCAATAGACGGATTTACAGACAGTAGTCTAGTTCAATTATGGAAAACAACGTGCAAAGAAGCCTGACATGAGGCTGGCACTGATCACTCATTACACCTCTCTCACGGTTTAAAATCAATGTAAGCGGGTCACAGTATCCCGCGCCCTATACTGAACAATTGCACATCAGGGTATGCGATTTTCCCCTAACGGCTTGTTCTTCTTGTTCTAGTTAGTGATATCGATAATCTTGAGGTCGTGTGCTATCCCGATATGCCTCCACGAGCAATCGCTTCGTCTAGATCGTGCCTCCTGAGACCCTCCAGCCATATCGTGTGCACGTACTAAAGCATTGGAGGATTGGTACCCTCGAGGCCTGACTTTTTCGTCGACCGATAGCTAACGACTGCAAAGGGGACTATTTAGCTCACAATCAAATCAGAAGCCAAAAACCTTAGACCTGTTTTACATACACATAGCTCATGTGGGATGTGAGCCTTGTCACTAATCTGCAAGAACTCTCACTGCTACGAAACAGAGTAACACCCAATTGCATCAATATCCCTCACCATATAATGTGTTGCAATAAATGATGTCCATCTTGAATAGCATCGAAGTGCGCTTTATATCATATCAAAGTTGATTATAAATTGTTAAATCTGAGAAATCAACCGCCCATGATGCATCAGCCCAAAAGGGATGATTCTGTACGAACAAGAGGAAGTAAAGACCTTGCCACAGACTAAGGAAAGCAAAATCGTGACTGCGATTTCTCGACTCGACGACGACATGATCAGAAGGTATCACCATTGAGACATACTGCCAACAAGCTATTGTATCCTGATCTACGAGTTGTTGGTGAAGGTTAGTGGTTTTGATCAGTGTTTGCTGAGCAAAGCATGAATCCTCATAATTGACTGCCCTGCAGCGAAGCAGAAACTGTGCCATACTGTAGTAGAAAGAACTCCGTCAGATGTTCATATCCTTTACTTTTTCAAAATCAAAATGTGAATATTTTGAGCATGCTACAAGGGTGGACAGTAAACAACTCGATTCGCTCTTAGTTAGGCCGCTATACTATGGAAAAAGGGTTCAAGGAATGTCTTGAGCGAAACTACGGTATTCTTCGGAAAGCCGTCCTTACAACCGAGTCCCCTTCGACGCAAGCAAGAAGCTAGCATGAAATGGCTTAGAGAATTCCAAATCCTTCCGGACAGATGACGTTATCTTGTTTTCAGTACCGGGAAGTAAGAGCCTTTTTAGGCCCGCGGGGGGCAGCATATATAATCCTAGACCACTCCTCTAGTGAAGCTTGTACATAAGTACAGCCTGTAAAGAGACATCAAAGCTTCGCTGATCATCATAAGCTGCGAATACGCTCAGCCTCATTTTGAGCGCCTAGCTAGCGTACTACAAAGCTGCGTAGAGAGCACAAGTGATGCTCGCTGCTCTAGCCTTTTCTGTGGTATTAGCTGCTGTTTACACCCGAATTTACCGAACTCGCAAACTAGAAGACAACCTAATCGAAACTAATCAAGTAAGTAGCAGGCTTTATACTAAGTGACTCAACAGTCGACATCATACATCGTTGAGCGATAATGAATGGCAGCTTTCTCACGTGCATACAATGTATCTTGTGATATGGGAAATGGGGGTGATAACCTAAATGAAGGACGTTCCCCAAAAGTCCTCGAGAAGACTTCACTAGCCCGGGTGAGGTGTTACCTTATGCCTCAAGAGAATGATACTCTGGAGGAAAGTCAAAATATGGAGTACAGAGTATAATAACAGCCATTAATTCGCTCACGGATGTAACCAGCCACTAGTGGATGATCTAGTGATGCTTTGTAGTACTAGTAGTAGTGTGGAGGCCTGACAGGGATCTGTGCTCCTAGATTTCCCTGAAACTTGGTTCTCAATGTAATCATGTAAGCCTTGTGATTTTACTACGTAGAGATCAGCTCCTTAGCCAATGCTATTTTGTAATTAGGGTTTGTTCTATTCCCAAGTTGTTGTTTTCGAATGGCTTCATCGTGACGGGGAGGGGGGAAGTGGAGATTAGAATCTCACCTATGTAGAGCTAAGCAGGGGATCCTCGCTAGCACCGACCCGCAGACACTCTGGCTTGAGCTGAGTCCACGTAATTGTACTGCCCAGGAAGAGAAAATATCCCTGCTTCTAAACGGGTTGTAATGGAAACAAGAGGCAGAAAATTTGCGCATTGTGTGCCCGTGCTGCACATAAGCATCAAAGCAATGTTCAGTCACTCGTCGTCATTTGCAAATGTTCCCCTTCCCTTAGTACCAATATACACATCTATTACCGCTATAAAAAGCATCATGATTGATTGTTATTGACTTCTACATATATATCCACCGTTTTCCTGACTCCATCAACCGGTGGCTGATCCTCTGTCAACCCTCTAGTGCTTTCTGTGCTCTCCGCATCATCCCTGTTTCTGCGAAT